CACGCCCCGCGCGGCCCACCCAGGAGCTCCAGGTGCTGCTCCCGCGGCGGCCGGGCCTTGATCTCCACGAACTCGCCGTCCGTGTACTCGCGGTAGACCACCTTCTTGTACTGCGAGCCGATCCAGTTCTCCGTGTGGTTCATGAAGATGTCGCCGTGCCTGCGGGCCAGAGGGCGAGTGCCGCGAGCTATGCAAGCAGTCCCGACACGGTCCGGACGGATGGACACGCCCTAAAGTCAGGACTCCCACGCCAGCCTGTCACCAGCTCCCTCTCGCATAATCATAGGATGGAGACTCGCTGAGCAACCTCCAGCTTGCACGGCTGCCTCAGCCTCGAAGGCGCTGCCCCAGGGCGGGAGCTTCCTCCTGAGGTCACCGCTGACTGATGACAGCAGCTGCTGCTGCTGCAGAGTCCGCGCTGGGCAGTCCTGGGATATGCTCGTCTGCTGCCCGGAGGACCCGCGTCTCCGCGCCCCACTGTCCCGCGTGGGCTTCTCTCCCTTCTAAGGGCCACTCAAGCTTCCGACCGTCCGTCTTTAGATAAGGAAATTCGCCCACTCACCTGCTGATCAGGTTTTCTACTGTCGACTTCAAGGAAACCCACTAAGCTTTCTAATGAGTCTTCAAGTGACTTTACTGCCTTTTGTGATGCTTCACAAATGTCCCTTCCCGCCCTACTTTACGCGTGAGAATGAAAGCCCTTAGGTAGCAGGTGAGGCGTGACGGCTCCATTCTGGCTCATCCTCACTGCGCTGCGCACAGTAACTCAGTCTGAAACTGAGTCCGCACCTGCTGGAGCCTCGCCACACTGACTTTCATAATCTCACGTAAAGGTCAGAAGGACCCGGACGGTGCTCAGCAAAAAGGTGATGGTGATCTCAGCCCACTCCGTGCGCTGATGTCGCCCCCGCCTGCTTGAAACGTGTAAAACAAACCCGCTGACGGCAGCGCGGGAGCCTCGCCCCAGCTCGCTCCTCCTGGCGCCCGCTCCCCTTCGCCCCCTTTTCTAGGAATCTCGCTCGCAGACGCCGCTCCCTACCTGCTCTGCCCCCCAACAACCCGTGATGGGACGGAGCGTCTCCCACAGGCGAGGCTGGCGCCAGTCGGCGGCGTGGTGTCGGCCACGCTGACGGCGCCGCT